AAACGGCGGTGGGCGCTGTGAAAAGTTGTTCCCCTGTTGTGGTGGGTTCCCGTCAGCCCTGCCCCGGCGGCGCGGGCTCCGCCAGCAGTTACGCTTCGGACAGCGAAGCTGCGCCGGTAACGGGAAACGGGAAGAACAAGGAGGGGGGGGGAAAACCCATAAAAGGCCTGAAACGGGTAAGGTCCCAGCTCCAGCCCCTGGCCTCGTTAACTTGGTATTCGCAGAAACTCGGGTTTCTCAAAGGTCCTCTAATAACTTCTCCTAAAACGTCAAAAAGACCTAAACTGGTTCTTCCTGATACAGCTCGGACAGAAATGTATCTTCCTTTAGTTCTTAATATTTTTCTAACCGCTACAAATAACCGGTCACTTCGCAATTTTTAGGTGCCTCTTAGTCCCCTGGAGCTGATGCTGTTTGGTTGATGAAGCGGCTTGTGAAGCATGCAGTGCTGCCTTGGGTAGAGCTGCTCCAGTGCCGCTGCAGCCGGTGCGAGTGACGCTGTTCGCCGGCAGCGAGCCCGAGCAGCTGGGTAACTCGGCAGGAGGCGAGTTTTCTGCTAGGGACAAGCAAGGAGAGGATCGATCCCACCCCACGGCCACGGCTCATCCTCCCAGCCCCTCGTTTGCTCGGTGAGAACAGAGAGCAGAAGCTGCCTCTGCCCCGGCCCCAGCTGCAGCCGCGTTCCCACACCAGACACCCGACTCGGCAGCTGGCCAGCGATGTACCCAGAAAGTCACCATCCCAGAGTGGTTATCACATACTAGAAGGACTTTTTCGTAACCTCTATGCTTTATAGCCACACGTTGTGGCACTGTTGTTGCACGGCAGTGGTGCAGCTCCAGGCAGCATGGGTGCTTTAAAGAAGACGCACATCCCTAGAACAGCACTGAGTGAGTCTGGCGTGGACGGCATGCTTGGGCGACCACAGACTTCCCCAGTGCCGCTGGGCTTTGGGCAATGCCCAGTGACTCTCTCGTGTCAAGGCATTTTCTCAGAGCTTCCCCCCTTCCCCCAAGGGAGATCAGAGCGGGCAGAGGGGCAACTATGAGTTACAGAAGCATTTGGTGGCTCTCTTTCCTTCCATTGCTTTCTTTAGCCAGCAGTTCCCACATCCTCGTAGCCTTTCCCATCATCCATAGGATATATAGGGCAGGTGGAAGGTTTGAGCTGCTGGAGGGCTGCACCTGGCTCAGACGCGGACCGATCCCTCCACGATGGATGACACTGACAAAAGGCTTTGCCAAAACATTTATTTTCTGAATGGCATGGATCTGACACTACAGCACACACTTTTACGCTCACAGAGTGAATAAAACACAAATTCATCTGGTATGTGTCTTGTCTGGTAGCACTCTATTTAAAAAAAGGGAAGAAAACGGTACAATAGGGTGAAGGACCTAAATGTGTAAGCAATCTTTATATCCCTTATCAAAAGGATTTCTATCCTCCTCCCAGATTTTCTACAGGCGTATTAACAGCCAAGCTGCCTCTACGGAAAAGCTTATAAGCCCCTTCCAGCCCCAAAGTGAAGGGTAACGACCACAACAAGAGGGCTCCACTCTTCCCTGCTCGCTCCTCCGAGCCGCGAGGCTTCGCAGGGCTGGGTGGCAGCGCGAGGGGAGCGGGGAGCGAACCCCGGTCTGAGACACTACTGCCACCCACACCCCACCGTCCTGCACGAGGTGCCAAGATCAAACCACACGGGACAAGTCGGGGGAATCATTTCACGAGCTGCCAGTGACTCCGGGAGCAGTATTAAAATGTTACTGTGACTTTTCATGTAGAAGTAACTTGTTACTAGCAGAATTAAAACAACCACTAAATATTTGAGAAATGTCCGTATTTCATCAAACAGTGAGGGGAAAGGGGAAGCCATTTTTAACCTACAGCACTCCAGAGGAAGCATTTAAAGCCACATTCTGCAAAAATAATTTGCATCTTGTTGCCAAAATAAATGCAAAGTTTAAACCCCATGAGCTTAAAACAATTGACTTGTAACTTTTGAAACACGGTATATAATGAAAAAGGATATAGCTCTAAAGCACCTTGCAGCATAAAACTCTTGCAGTTACTGTATTCTTTACTCCTAATCCTTGAGTTCTTCACATACAAAAGGACTCCTGCTTATATCCCTTTTATAAAGGCATGGACCAAACATTTATTTGGCTTTCCGTGCTCACTAAAGACGAAGTGACCTTCACCCAGCTAAAGCAGAAATGTTTCTTTTTATTCTTGGAATGGTCTGTAAGAGCATCAATTAGGCTGTATTAAATGATGAAAAACAGCAGTGCTGAGACACTGCAGTTCATAAAGCAGTATCGCCCACCAACATTGTACTGCAGCACTGATGCAATAAAGGACAGAGACTACAGGCAGCAAAAACAATTCATAGCAGTGAAAAATCATTAAAATACCATGAAGTTCAAATTAATCCCTTCTTTCCATTTCACTTGAAGACAGGTATGAAATTTTGTAAAAAAAAAAAAACCAAAACTACAAAGCCATCTCCAGTTCTTATACAATTTAAAATTTAGCAAGTAACAAATAAAGATAAGCAAACATGTACTGCAAGTATAACATTTGAAATGGCAAAACTAATCAGTAAACCCAAACATTAAAAGCTGTAATTGGATTCTGCACCTTCCCTGCTGTTACACAGCAGCTACGTCTCTCTGAATCGGTGGGTGTACGAGTACCGACAGTAACACTGCCTTCATTATACTGCTCCACCTCTACCTAGGGAAACATGGGCATGAGCAGCTCTTTAATTTGACCTACACGCTGCAAAATGGAATCTTATTTTTCAAAACTGGAGTTATATATGTATTTATTCTGTGCAGGTGGACTCAAGCACCCATGCAGAACCCAACTGAAATCAATCAGGTTCAGCGCAGCTGCAATATTCGATCCTCCCAGTACAAGTTTCAGACCTGGTAGTCAAGTTATTGCTTTAAGGAACTCAATATCAATGGATATTTAATAAGTTTATATGGAAAAGATTTATGCAGCCAACTTTCAATTCACACCAAGTTTGGTTGCTTTTTGGTTTTTTTTTTTTTTTTTTTTTTTAAATCACCTACACATCTGATGCAAAGTATTACAAACATAGACGGCAAAAAACCAGATCACTCACTCTGCAGATCTGTTGGTGAAGCTGAGGCAGGCTGTTTCGGGCCATGGTCATTGTATACAAAGAATTCTCCTTAAAGGGATTCTGAATTTTTCTTTTTCTTCTGCAGTCTGGGATTTAAAGTATTGGCTGGTCTTCGAGTGCAGGCTGGCAAGCGGGCAGCAGTCATCAAGTGCTGTAAAGGTGAGTTCTTGGCTGTGGTGCAGACTGGCAGGTATCGGCTATTTGGTAAGGCACGGCAGTGTGCGCAACCAGAGCAATGGACTGTGACAGTAATTTTAATTCCCACAAGCAGCTGAAAAGTTCACACACGCACAAGCTTAAAAGATTTGTAAAAGTGTACAGAGATGGTACCAATGAATCAGTCGTCTATTTTCAAGTGCTAACAACAATCATCGCCAGGTAGCTGGCAGTTAAGAACTTCTCTTGGTTTTTGCACTGAAGTAAAGAAGAGATACGTAGGCTATCATAGATAAAAAGTAGAAAAGAAAGTGATGGGGCAGGGGTTTGTAACAATGAGCCCAGGGACAAGATCCTCACCGAAGAGTACCCCGATAACTTATCCCACTTGCAGAGCTGCTTCCTTGATTTTTACAGCTGCCCCAAGATTTAAAAAAAACTACCATGAAATGGAGCCCTAAGTCAGTGAAATACTTAAATATTTGTTTGATTTTAATCATGGGCTTAAATACTACTGTAGCCAATTGAAAACTGAATTAAAATCAGCACCATAGTGAAAGAGTTATTTTATGACTTTTCAAATAATTTCTAGGGTAAAGTGTTTTGCTTAGTCTCTCGAACTTACTTCAGAGAGTGGGTAGAGGACATCTCTGCAGGCAGTTCAGGCTTTGCGTGGTCTTACGGTCTTGCCTATGTGCAAAACCAACAGAATAAAAACTTAAGTGGCAAGAGCCACAGTAAGTGGGTGAAAGAGGAACATTCCGCACCTGAACAGATGCAGCCCTTCACAAATTTGTTCAGATACTTCAGTGTACATTTTCCACCCTCTTCGTTACTTCATGCCAGTCTAATTTAGGCTCATTAGTTTCAGTATAGAATTATAGAATGGTTTGGGTTGGAGGGACCTCT